AAGCATGTGACCTGATGATATCTTGCCTGCATCGCGGCGAAATGAGCTCGAGGGAGCCTTCTCTGAATCTAGCAAACCGAACTAACCCCACAACCCTTTGAACCCCAAACCCCAAACCCCAAACCCCAAACCCCAAACCCCAACCCCAAACCCTAAACCCTAAACCCTAAACCGAAGCCTTTGAGACGTAGCCGCATTGAGGCTGAAGAAGCTCCTGGCCAGTATGCCGACGGCCCTGAACCGCATCCTCATGCTGCGACCTGGGCTGCGGTTTCGGGTTTAGGGTTTAGGTTTTAGGGTTTAGAGTTTAGAGTTTAGGGTTTAGGGATGTTTAGGGCTGAGCTGTGGAAATGCGCGGTTTGGTGGTCCCAGCTGATGCTCTGAGTCTGGGTTCAAAGCAGGGATGGTTTGCACCTACAGCCCCACTCAGACTGAAAATTCTGGCAGCAGCTGTGTTGTTCTCACGGACGGCGTTTAGAGGCAAAGAAAAACCGCAGACAAGGAGTACAATCGGCGCTCGCGGAAGAGATGGTGGCTTCAATGTAGGCCGGGGTTGGGACAACCAGCCTCTTTGCAGAAGTACCTTTCGGAGGAACCCCCAGAACCCTAAACCCTAAACCCTAAACCCACCCCCAAACCCTAAACCCAGAACCCCGAGCCCTTGGCGAGTAGGATCCCTACGTCATCCCAAAGGTTGACCTTGCAGCTTGAAACTGGCCTTTCAGCAACAGTTGAGCCCGAAACCCGCAACCTATGGACCTTGGAGCGCCCCCCCCAAACCCGAAACCCTAAAACCCTCTGAGTCAAGGAGCCTAAACCCTAAACCCTAAACCCTAAACCCTAAACCCTAAACCCTAAACCCTAAACCCTAAACCCTAAACTCCCTAGTGCCCTGCAGGGTCCTCGAGTCTTGGTCGGCTCAGGACTCAGGGCTCATGTTTGTAGTCGGGGTGCTCTAGGAAGGTCACTACCAGGTTTAGGGTTTAGGGTTTAGGGTTTAGGGTTTAGGGTTTAGGGTTTAGGGTGCAGGGTTCAGGGTTTAGCCGAATAGGGCCGCCCTTTAAACCCCGGCCCCGAAAGACCTAAACTCCCTGAACCCCCTAAACTCCTTAAACCCTAAACCTGTGTGCCCCTCCGAAAAAGCACATAAATAATAATAAGAAGAAGCAGAACAATAATAATAGTAATAACAATAATAATAGCCATACTAAGAATAAGAACAATAATAGACAATAACAATAGTAATAATGAATAATAATAATAATAATCACAATAATAATAATAATAATAATAATAATAATAATAATAATAATCGTTCCTCAAATCCCAAACCGCAGACAGCAGGCTCCTTCTTCGGCGTGGACTTCAAGTCGGGGACCTATGCGAGCTTGGAAGACGAGCTAACTTCCCTCGCAAGGCAGGGACGTAGATTCTGGGGCTTAGGGCTTAGGGTTTAGGGCTTAGGGCTTAGGGTGCTGGGTTTTTTCCTTATCTTCCGGCGCAACCAGGGTTTAGAGTGTATGGTTAGATGTTGGGGCTTAGGGCTTAGGGTGCTGGGTTTTTTCTTATCTTCCGGCGAAACCAGGGTTTGGAGTGGGTTCTGTCTGTGTGCGTGGGTGTGTAGGGGGGCCTTTGTTGGAACATCAAAGGAGATGTCTTGGCGAATTGACTTCTGTCCTAGCCAAGCGAGTCGTGTGCCCCTAGACCTGAACCCTAGAGAGGTTGGACGCGCCACGGACGCTGAATTTCTGATGATTGGGTTTTGGTCGTTGTCGTTCGCGTTTGTATGGACTGGTGGGCCTGCACACAACCTCCTTACTGCAGAATCAAAGGACCCCGTCCTGTGACGTCCTATGGGTTAAGGCCAAACCCTAAACCCTAAGGTTTTGAGTGGGTAATCTGGCGATGTCTCAGCCCAACAACCACTTCCATCACTGGAGGCAGCGGCCGGCCAACAAGCCTCTGAAGGCACGCCCGATCACTGGCATTGCATCAACTACCATTTGCTTAAGAACCCCAAAAAAACATTTTAAAAGAAGTCCCTATATTCTACCCTCAATAAGGAAGAGTATATTTGTATTTTTGCGTTCTTAAGCAATTAGTAGTCAATGCTTGGAGGTTCATGGCTAGCTATAAGTAGGGTTATAAGCCCCCTAATTAAGGTTAGAAGTATAGTTACCCTAGTTATAGCCCGACTTATAACTACGCATGAACCTCCGAGTGAAAGCGTGGGGGTTGTGTCTGTCTTTTCCGTCTGTCTCTCTGTGTGTGTGTGTGTGTTTTTTTTTTTTTTTTGGGGGGGGGGGGGGGGGGGGGGGCTGCCTTAAGGGGATACAAGAAACCCGAAAGCGGTCCAACTCCTTGCGTGATTGATGGCATGGCCCCTGTGTTGTCCTACGTTTAGGGTCTCCAGTGTGTGGAGGGCTGGCTCGCCACGGACAAATTCAAACAAGGTTATAACCATAAGGAGCCGGGGCATCCGCTGCCATGATTTCAGAGTCAGTCTGCTGGTGTAGGGTTTAGGATGTAGGGTTTGCATATCTGCCGAAAGATTTCTGGAGCTTTCCCAACTTATTACCAGCCCGAAACTAGACATTCAGAGCGTCGACCAGCATCTGGCTGCAGGTGGTCATTGTGCGTGCAGGCCCTGCCCAAAGCGAGGCCGTCCGATCCCAGGTTTGCTGCACCTTGCCGCGCAAGTCAGGAAATTCATTGGCAACGAATCTCCCCCCTTAGTATTCATGCTATGTATTTATCACATACGCAATCCTTAACGGGGCTTGCTATCAGGCCCTGAAAGGTCTCCATCAAGCCTCACCTCTGAAGCCCGACCAGCAGCCTGAACCCTAAACCCTAATCCCTAAACCCTAAACCCTAAACCCTTAGGGTTTGGGGTTTAAAGAGCTCTGAGTCTGCCGGGTCCCAGCGGCACTCAGAAGCGTGGTTTTTGGAAGCATTGTGGGCTACGCTTCGATCATGGGTTCCATTAGGAGAACTTGTCATGTGTTCTAGTGACTCTAGTGTTACAATCGAGCAACGCTTCATTGCCGGGCTTTGTTGCCTGAAATCAGCCTTTCACCAAGGGAACGATCGCATGGGGGAAGCACTGAAAAGCCACCGACAAAAACGCAGCAATGAATGTAGACCCTACGTATGTACGTAGACAGTCGCATGTCTGCGGAGATGGGGAAGGTTTGTCACGCTTTCATGTGGGTGGTTGTCAATATTATGGTCCCTTTTTGGATCCCTATTGTAATACGGCACCTAATATTTAGGGTACCCCAAAAGGGATCATAATTTTGACAGCCGCCCATGTGTGCAGAGACCACGTGAATAAAGGTCCAAGGGTGCTCTTAATCACAACCACTGGAAGTCCCCAACTCCCCCTACACTCCCGGCCGAATTCTCTACTTGGAAGCCCTTTGGTCTTCGTAAGCAGCGTCAGTAAGTTGGCTTATGGGGATGCTTATAGGGTTTCTAGGGGATACTAAGTAGACTTGCGCTAAGTCGAGAGTCCAAGCAAACTCTAAGCCCCAACCCTAAACCCTAAACCCTAAACCCTAAACCCTAAACCCTAAACCCTAAACCCTAAACCCTAAACCCTTAAGCGCAAAGCCGGAAGCTAAGAGGTGCCCAGTGGGGTCTAAGTTGGGTTTGATGGCCAAGACTTAACTTCGGTGGGTGTGGAGCAGGTTTGGGGTTTAGGGTTTAGGGTTTAGGGTTTAGGGTTTAGGGTTTAGCTGAAACTTGGCAGTCCCCAAGGCAGCCTTGAGGAGATGGCCGGCAGCACGACTCTGCAGACAGCCTCTGCGGCTTTGCTTCATGCTTTGATCTTCGGTGTGGATGTGGCTCAGCAGCACTTCTCTGTTCCTCTCCCGCTCCCTCAACCCGCTCACTCCCTACCCCTCTCTCGCGCTCTCTCTCTCTCTCTCTCCTATCTCTTGTCTCTCTGTTTCTTCCCCACTTGATCTCTCGCTGAATCTCTGTTTTGCCCGTTTCTCCTGTCTGTCCCTTGCTCACGCTCCTTCTCCCGCACGCAGTTTACTCGCTCGCTCACTCACTCACTCACTCATTCACTCACGCTCTCTCTCTCTCTCTCTCTCTGTGTCCCTCTCTCTCTCATGAACTTTATCTCTATCATTCATTCACTCACACTCACTCACTCAGACTCATTCACTCTCTCTCTCTCTCGCTCTCGATTCGCCCTCTACGGCTATCCGAAACTTTGCATCTGCACCTAAGAGAGTACGCACATGCTTTTTCTCAATGATATGTGTATACGTGTATGCATCAGGCTGGCTTCACGGTGGTTAACGATCCAGTGGCTACCGCTGCGACATCCTTCCGTGCCGCGGATCCGTTTTTTGGGTTTTGGGAGCACCGGTTTGACAGAGACGCCGCCACAGGTTCCAAAATTGAGGGCGCAACATGAGGGCTTCACATGTTCACACACACACACACACACACACACACACCCAAAACGCCAAAGTCCTTAAGTCCTTTTACATAGGCTGTAAACCTTACATGCCGGGGCCCCAAACGTCTCCCCACAAATGTTCCTCACAAAAGGTCCCAAGATCAGGGCTAGTGAGCTAGTGCCGGAGTACAGTTTGATTGCTTGTGGGGCTGAGGCCACAGGGCTGTGGGCAGTTTCTGTTTGCCTTCTTCGAAGTTTGAGCAAGAACGATGCCGTGGTAGAACTTCGTAGTCATACTTGCTTGTATCCAGCTAAAGACCCCCTTACGTGGCCTGCGGATCATGCTTCGGCCCAGGTGGACCGCGCTGGGAGCGGCTGTTGCTGCCCTGCATCGGCCCAGTACCTTGGTCTTCAATGGCGAGTAATGTCGGGTTCTGGGGATTCTGGCAGCTTTCGCGTAGGTTTAGCATGCGAGCTGGATGGAAGGTACCGAGCGACAGGTGTTTGTGAGTTGTGAAGAGTTGGGGTGCATGTCTTTGATAGCCCGCCACTACACACGCGGTTCCTTTAGGAGATTTGGCGCATGGACGTCGATGATGCACGCGCAGCCGCTTCTCGACGCATTGTCAGACCCAGCAGTTTGCAATTCGGCTACTGAGCTTGTGTGCGACTGACGTTTTGGTCTTAGACCAAAACGCTGTACATCCGTGATGTACCTTTTTCAGGCTGGGAGTGCAATGTTGGAAAAGGAACCTGATTTATGTGTTCCTACATGTTCAGTCCAGTGAGACCCTTCATGCAGTCGCAGGTGCACTGGCATAGGCGTTATAATTATGGCACAGAGGAGTAGAACTGGAGACTTCGAGACCAGGCTTTGTTCGTCCAGCAGTGGGCCGGTACCTTCGTGGGCATCGGCACTGGTGCTGTGGCGCGTTTTGGCATGAAAACGCCTGTCGAGCTGCAGGAGAGCACGGCCGAGAATTATAGTTACCCTGCTTACAACCCTACCCTACTATTGCTGAAGAACCCCAAAACGTAAACGATGGGCCCAATCCAAGGGTTTAGCATGCAAATGTGATGATGCGGCCGAGCGCTCGACATCCCGCTACCCTCATTAAGAGGCCACTTGTATCCCCCGATTCCACATCCAGCTTTGTGAAAACTGTCCCGTCTTCTTGACCAGTCTTGGTTCCTGAGCCGTGGTTCCTAAGCAGTTTTGTGTTGGTCTGCCATCCCGTCGCATGGATGAGGGTTTTGGGCAACTTTCCTCCCGCCTTAGACTTCGTTTAAGGTGTATGTAGTCCTGAATGCCTGATGCCTAAGGCAAGTTTGCCTTGTTCAGGAGACACCCTGCGGCTGTTTGCTGAAATTCCGCCCCGTGGGCACGCCGCCGGCCAAGAAATTCGACGAGCTTGAAGAAGGCCTGTGTCGGGCTTGGGTAAGAAGGGACTGGAGTTCCGCAGTCCTTAGGGCTAGGTGGCCCCAACATTGGGGTTGCAAGCACTACAACTTAGGTTTCACAACATACCCTCCCCTCAACGTGGGCTGCCTAGTCGAAACTGGCTCATTCAGACGCAGCCGGGTTTCTAGCCAAGTCGGTTGCACAACCAGGTGCATGTACCTGAAGATGCTTGAGGATGCACATGTCGCTGAACACACGCGAGAATGCACGCACATGCATTCGGACATATCTGTCAGTTGCCGGGGTAGGTTTTTTCACCCACGTCTAGGAAGTACATGACCGTATGTTTACGGTAAAGTGTAACATAGGTGTTACATGATTGCATGGGTGGATGTTGTGCGCTGCACATATGTTATGCATTGTAGCTACAGGTTTCTGCTGTAAAGCGAAGTATGTCGCAATACCATACAATGAAGTAAAGCGCAACGTGCTACAAATGTAGGGTCATTTCATGTGGGTGTATATCCCTGCGTACACCTGAACTTTCAACTCCAACGCATGGAGGTTCATAGGTGGTTATCAGTAGGGCTGTAAGTACCCTAAATAAGGTTGCAATTGGAGCTATCCTACTTATAGCTACCCACTTGGAGGTTCATGGTACTTAGTGACCCAATTATAACTGTACTTACAACCCAATTATAACCCTATCAGGGTATTTAAGAGGCTTATCAGTGGGTTCTAACTACACATAATTGGGTTATAAGTACCCTGAACCTGAACCTCCAAGCATGAGCCTCCAAGTGAACGGATCCAAGACCCTGTGGAGAGGCGGACTCGAATTCTTGGCCGAGGCCTGCGCGAACAAGGGGTTGGGAACGTCGATGGTCGAGGTTCAGGACCCTAAGCCCCAAGCCCTAAACCCCTAACCCTAAACCCTAAACCCCTAACCCTAAGCCCCAAGCCCTAAACCCTAAACCCGCGGGGTTGGGCTGAAGTTTAGCTGCGGCTTCAGGTTTTTTGGAAGCAAGTTGGGGAATGGTTGCTAGCCCAGTGGTGCCCTTTTGCCCCTTTTTTTGTTGGGCTCAGGTTCCGTTATAACGTGGCCCTAAACCGAAACCACAAAGCTGGTGCCCTTCTTATGATATGGTTACTGAGCTACAAAGGCAAAATCCAGGTATGTTTGTTTACGTCTCCTTTTCTTTCTGCGTTCTGTAGTCTGGCAAGCCAATAACATATGATGGTCCAAACCCTAAACCCTAACCCTAAACCCTAAACCCTAAACCCTAACCCTGAACCGCTGCTTCCAGGCCCCCGAGGGGGAACGACCGAGACTCCGTGTTCGCCGGGCAGCATATAGCGCCAAGGCGGTCTTGGGAATTGGGTTTAGGGTTTAGGGTTTAGGGTGTCGGGCTTAGGGTTTGGGGTTTAGGGTTTAGGGTTGGCGCTTCCCCAGACTCCCCCCCAAGATTACTGACAATCATGGCCTGTTTGCCCGTTATCTGCGTAATGGAGGGAGTACACGAGGGCTTCTGGCGGTTGAGTTGCATCAGGGCTTGAGGTTTTGTTCGGGCCGAAGCCGCTAACGTCCCCAGTTGTAGCTTATCCTTTGTTGATAAGCTAAATTGTATGGATAGCATGATCTAATTCCTGAGAAAGCCAGGCACCACCTCCAAAAGGACCCTAAACCCGAAACCCTAACTAGCTAGAGCTCCGGGGTTGCGTAGAATCCAAGAGCGGGATCCAGGAAGAGGCTTGTTACGAGAACCCGTAGAGTTCAGGGTTTGGAGTTTAGGGGTGTCCTCGCGCTGTGTTCCTGAGATTTTTCTAGTGCAACTACGCAAGACAAGAGTAGGTGACCATGAACGGTTCAGTACCGGGTGAAGTCGCAGAAGGCCCGCTGAGAAGGGTTTAGGGTTTCGGCACAAGTCTACAAGAGCCGGAACTCACCCCCCTAAACTCTATTCCCCGGTTTCCACGTCGACCTGGCAAGAGGCTGTCGTCAAGGCAAACTCGGAGAGGGCCTTGCTCGAGCAGTTTCAACGAGATTGGGCCGAAGCACGGCAGGTCAACAGGCTTCCCTGGGCAGTGTTTTAGGGCTTTAGGGTTTAGGGTTTTAGAGTTTTAGGGTTTTAGGTTTTAGGGTTTTAGGGTTTTAGGGTTTAGGGCTTATTAGGTTAGCGCAGGAGCCTGCATGATTAGCGCCCGGCGCTCTTCCTTTTGAGCTGGCTTTAAGGAGCAAGCAAGCACTTAGCGCCGGGGATTTCGTGCCCCGAGCTTGCTAGAACCTGGATCGGTTTGCAGCAACGGCTGCGGAAGAAAAACAAAAAAGTGCACACCTCTGCCTGTTAGGCGTTCTTGCTGCGGATTGCCGGATTGGTTTCGGGTTGGTGGCTGCAATGCAATTCTGCAGCAGCTTGCATGCCATCGGAATCCCTAAACCTTACACCCCAATGCATATGATTGGTGCGACGAGGTTTCCTGGGACTTGAGGAAGGGGCTGATGGGGCTGTTGTAGTTTATGTAGGAGGGAGTTTCACAACGGCTACCGTGCCCCCGCATTGAAGACTGAGACTGGATCCTCGCCGGGCTTGTTCCGAGCGTTAGCGATGAAGCACCAAAGAGAGCACAGGAACCCCTCAACCCGCAACCCCTTTTCAGGGGCAGGAAGCCTGCGTCCGATCCCACCACATCCCCTAAACCCTAAGCCCTAAACCCTAAACCCTAAACCCGCTGTATCATGGCACCCTGAAGCTTGTTGACCCCTGGGCCCTGCGAACCCTTAGACTTCATATTGTCTCATAAATGAAGCCTCAGATGGCGCATCTTGGTCTGCATTCATCTAGGGGTAGTTTGCATGGTCCCTTAAAAGGGACCCGTTGTATACCCCTTGTAGAACCTTAGAATCAGACAATCAGACTTCTAAACCCGACAACCTTAAACCTTAAACCTTAACCCCCCTTAACTTTATAGGAAATCCCCATAAAACCCGTGGATTTTTCTAGTGATTGGGGACCTGAACCCTAAACCCCAAACCCTAAACCCTGAACCCTAAACCCTGAACCCTAAACCCTAAACCCTAAACAGCATCGCCGGGGCCATGGCTCTTCTGGACCGCGAGCGGCTCTGCCGCATCGAAGAGCTCGCAAATCAGGCCGGCAGCCTCAGAGAGCTTGAGCTGAACCGGGCTGCAAGGGGTTTTAGGGTTTAGGGTTTAGGGTTTGGGGTTCCGGGTCTGCAACCTGAAGTCCTACTACTTGCTTATAGAAGCCCTCCAAACAAGTATATACATATTCTTCCATATAAGGGCAATATAGGGATTCTTGTCTGCTATTTTTCGGGGGAATCTTAAGCAAATAGTAGAATCCTGCAAATCTCTCGGGTTCCGAAATTCCAAGGTGGATATCCGTGTGACATCCAGGCCTGAGACGGATCATAGCGGCTTGAGCAAGGCCCATCCGACCCTAAACTATATCCCCCTTGGGAATTTCTTTGTTCATATAACACCCAAGAGGATGTTTAAAATATGTTTCTTGAGGTTCTAAGGGGAGTAGAGTAAACCCTAGATGCAAAGCCCCACCGACCAACTGAAGTGTGCCAAGGTCCTGCAGACACAAGAGAAACTGGTCGAGCTGGACCGGCAAAGAAACGGGCGGCGAGAGGCAAGGAACCCGAAAACGCCGAGAAGCCCTAAGCAAGCCCTTGTGTTTTTGTTCCTGATACGAACAGTCCTTAATAGGGATTATAGTACCCCCTATTCTAAACCCTATTAAGGACTGTTAGTATAAGGGTGAACATCCCAAAGGATGTGAGTCTTAAGTTTCAAGGCTCCAGGGCCTTCTCGGGCTGCACCAGCGCTTAACAGGCCTTTCGAAAGCCTTCGTCAAATCTTTCCTTGACCAGCAATTGCCTAAGAACCCCCCAAAATATAAAAAAGAATCTTCCTTATTATAAGGGTAATATACGGATTGTGGTTTTTTAGTCTTCTAGGGTTCTTCAGCAAATAGTAGTTGAGCATTTGTGCCAGAGTACTTGTGACCCTTGGCCCATGTCTGTGGGTTCAGGGTTTAGGGTATAGAGTGGGTTCAAAAGGGTTTAGGGTATCTCTGTTCTAGTGGGGTTTCATGTGGCGGACATCGCCACCATCGAGGCTAGCGAGTTTGACCGGAGCATTGGCCCTCGAGGAAAACCCTCCGCATTGGACGGTCGATGACTTAATGAGCGCCAGCTATATTTGCGTCTCTTGAAGGAAACCCCCCTCAAACCCTAGACCTGCCAAGGTTGAAGGTTCCAGGGTATGTGAACCTAAGCTCGCAACAACGAGATCCCACGCAGCGGAGTGCACGGAACATGGGCACTTCAGAGTGTTGAAGCCTGACACAAGTTGCGAGGCTGGTTAAAGCCGATGGGATGTTCCCCCTTAGACTAACAGTCCTTAATAAGGATTACAATACCCCCGAAAATGAATCCTATTAAGGACTGTTAGCATTTACGGGGAACGTCCCAAGCCGAATTCCTTACCAACGTCAAAGCAGAGGTGGGTTTAGGGCCGGGTTCACGGCAGGGCCCGGGGTTTAGGACGTGGGTGCTGAAGCACTTCTGCAGCCCCCCCTTTAAAGTCACGAACCCTAGTTTGGGATAAGACAAACAGTAGCCCTTAGGGTACTTAGCTGGTCAACCCTGAGGCCCTAAGCCCCCAAGCCCTAGAAGCAACAAGGCCCTACTCACTTGGTAGCCCAGTTTGTTCCCTTTTCCCCCTTTTTAGGGGGTTCAAGGCTCGCTTATAAAGTAGCCAGCCCAAAAAAAAGGTACCCTTACTACAATATGGTCACTGTTAGCTAAACCCTAAACCCTAAACCCTAAACCCTAAACCCTAAACCCTAAACCCTAAACCTCAGGGTGCTTTCAAGCTAAGGGCCCTCCCCAGCGGAAAACCAGGCCTTGGGAGCCTTTCGCCGTGGCGAGGCCAATGTTGGGCCAGGATCCTACATGGAAGTTTACGAAAATAAGGGTTTAGGGATTTAGGGTTTAGGGCAAAAAATGGAAGTTTACGAAAGTAAGGGGACCCCTAAAATGGACCCCCAAATAGTAGGATTCCTGTATAATAAGGGCCCCAATAAGGTACCCCTATTTTCGTAGACCCCCACATACATAGATGCCTAAAGGGCTTAGGGTGAACTGTCGTTCCATTTTAGAGAGAGGATTCCTGCTTTTGATGGTTGGTATGTTGTAAGACGACAGAAATCACAGGACGCAAAGAAAAGGAGCTACAACTGGTGGGGTTCTAGGACGCATGATAAGGTCGCTTCAGGGTTCAGGGAAAATTTGACAGCTCAGCTGGCCGGGCGACGAGGCAAGCCCGATGCAAGGGGTAGGCAAATAGGCGCCAAAAAACTCTGAAGTTCTAAGTACTATTTGCTTAGGAACCCCTCAAGCAAGGAAGATAATAACCCCCATATTGTCCCTACAGGAAGAAGAGGTTTTTGGGGGGGAGTTCTTAAGCAAATAGTAGCTAAACGGGTCTTCGGGCTCTGATGCTCAGAGTTGGATTGGTAGTTCTACGTGGGGCTATAAGTAGGGTTTAGAATGGTAAAACCCATGCGTTTATCACCATACTTAGGGTACTTATCACCCTACTTAGAACTACCCATGGA